AAGATTAATAGAATTCAAAACTTTTATAATATCATAAGTATCTACGTGATTAAATTTAAATGTGTGTGGACAAAAGGTGACATTATTTCTTAGAACGTTAATTGCATCTATGGGAGATGATTTTAATGTACATGTGACATTAACTGCAATTTCTGAAAAAAAAAAAAACTTTCAAAACTACTTGCAATTTCATTATCTGATGTTATGGGAGTATTACCTATAACCAGTTTTATAGGTTCCCTGAATATCTTGGGTCTTCCAGATATACGGGTAATGATGTCCCATGTAGCTTTAATTTTATTGTTTGAATTTATTATTCTATTTCTTATATGAATAGATTTTGCCTGAATACAGACTTTTTTAAATATTTTTGAGAACATTTGTACCCTTTTATGAAAGTTGGGGTCATGATTCCACTGCCTCATATTATATAATTCATACAGTGAATCCCTACTTTTATATATACCCACTGTTGCCCAGTCACTAATTTTGAATTTTTAACAATTGTGCGCGATTTAAATATAACATTATAAGAAGATATGAGAAAGTCAACCATTGATTTATAAGAATCATTAAGTTTAAGTTTCGTTTAAGTTTCTTTATTTGCTGATAAATAGGTAGTACAGAAAAAAAATTTTTGGTCTTGTTATCTTGTTGTTGTCACAAATGTCAACCTAACCTATTTAGCTGTTTTAAACAGCATGCAAATGTCCAGAAGATATATTTTTATAATACAGTCGTCTAATTTTTTTTTTTTGTTTTTTTACATGTAACTAAAATTGTCCTACAATTTTAATAGATATATTAGTTAATTAATGCATCGATTTTAAACAAAAAAAATAATATATGAAATAATATTAACAACATTAATTAGGTATTACAATTTAAAAACTCATTTATTGTGTAAAATAGATTCTCTAGTAGCCATCGTCGTAACGAAATTTTAAACATATTATATGGTAATTGTTTTATATGTGAGGGTATCTTGTTATAAATAGTATTGCACATTGCATAGCTATTTTTTTGAAAGCGCTTACTTTTAGGAATTGTATCTAGTACTAATTTATCTTGGTTCCGTAAGTTTATTTTTGTCACATTTTTAGCTTGTAAAAACATATTCTGGTTTTGTTTTACAAATTTGCAAACCTCAAATATATAGAGACAAGGAAAAGGAAGTATATTTAGGGTCTTAAAATAAGTCCTGCATGATATATATGATGAAATGTTACTAAGAGCTCTAATACAGCGCTTTTGAGCTAGAAATACTTTTTTACATTCTGTGCCATTACCCCAAATTATAAGTCCGTATCTGATAATAGATTCTATATGTGCAAAATACGCTGTGATCGCCGTATTTATGTTTGATATTTTTGCTAATTTATGTAACGCGTATACAAATCTGTTGATTTTGTTACACACTTTATGTATATGTTCCTTCCAATTTAGATCAGTCTATAACTAAACCTAGAAATGTTGTATTATTAGCATTCCGCAGTAATTGTCCATTATATTTAATATTTATGTCAAAATTTAAGTTATTAAAATTAATAATATGCGTCTTACTTAAATTAATGTGTAGATTATTTTTATTTAACCATTTATCTATTAAATTCACTGTTTTAATTATGTCTGTTTTATGTTGCTCTAGTGATTTTTTCTTACTTGTCGTAATCGTCACTGAGATGTCATCGGCGAATAAAGTGATTTTGTAGTTTGAGACATCGGGTAAATCATTTATATATAATATAAATAGCAATGGTCCAAGTATACTACCTTGGGGAACGCCAAAAGTGTTTTTTTTGAATTCCGATCTATATACCTGAGCTATGTTATTTCGATCTAATTGTGTTATTTCAACACACTGTGACCTATTTTTTAAATAGCTTTCTAGCCAGCTGTAAGCAGGACCCCTTATTCCATTAGCCTCTAATTTGGCAAGTAATTGATCATGTGAGACATGATCGAATGCTTTAGACATATCAAGAAATAGTACTGTTGTATAATTTTTTTGATTCACATTTTGCAAGACTTCCTTTACTAACGTAAACGCAGCACGTGTTGTCGATTTCTTTTTTATGAAACCATGCTGATTTTATTTTTATTACATTAAATTTAGTGAAAAAGGAAGTAAGTTGGTAGTGTATAACTTTTTCGACTAATTTTGAAAGGACTGGGACTATTGCTATTGGTCGATAGTTAGTTATATCACTTTTATCTCCCTTTTTGTGTAACGGTTTTACTATTGAAAATTATTGACTTCATTAGGATTATTGACTTCTATATCATTATTTAACATATGATGTGCCACTTTGTCTTTAAAAGAATTTATTCTATTAGTAGTGACTGGTCTACACTTGATCTTATGTTTGCTTGTAATAACTTTTTCATTTATTGAAAATTTTAAACCAAAGTGGTCAGAGCTCAGATAATTTATAACATATTTATCATATACATTATCGTGGCAGAAAACGTTATCTATACATGTGGAGGATGAGTTAGTGACACGAGTTGGTTCATGAAAAAGATTATTAAGTTTAAATGAACTAAATAAATTTAAAAGTCGTTTACTAAGATGTGTCACTTGTAATAAATCCACATTAAAATCTCCACAAACTACTACTGATTTACTACTTGAACAGAGTTTTTTAAGTACATCATCCATTACACACTCAAACAGATCGAAATCACCTGACGGGGGTCGATACACGCATACTATAATATACTGTTGACTCTCAACGCAGGATAATTCTATAGAACGTTCGACAGAGTGTGCTACTATATCCTGTCGATTTTTACAGACTATATCAGTTCTTACTAACACAAGAGAGCTACCGCGAATAGCATTTGCTCTTACGAACGAACTTAACAATTTATAGTTCTCTATATCTATAATATTAAAATGCTTATGTAACCATGTCTCTGTGAAGCAGATGACATGGATGTTAAATCTTCTAAGAAACAGCTCAATTTCAGGTTCTTTGCCACCTATGCCTTGTATATTTTGGTGTACAATATTTAATTTAAGTGGCTTAGGTGTTGTCTCAATGTTTAGTTTAAACTAACATTGTTTTTTGTAAAATTATTGCTAAGTAAAATGTTCTTAGTTGTACAATGTACAACTGGGTTTTGTATATTATATGCTACTAAAGTAGCAATTATTTTCTTATAATATAATGGCAAATACCAAGTATTTTTTGTCACCTTAAAACTAGACTTAATAAAACTATTTATGTCAAAATAAAAGAAAGCGTCACTATGACGGTGAGTTGTATTATATATAGTCATGTTAAGACTATATATGTCTATAGAACTACAACTGACTGATTCATACATTCAGAGACTTTTTCATTCGTTGCCACAGCGTCGCATTACAAGCCTCTCCTTCTACAGTATGTTTTGTCTCTTTTAAATTCATTCAACCCATTCATATGCTTTGTGACCTTTACAAATGAACTTTACGTTACAGTTTTATACGTAAGGATGTTCTAAAGTTCTTTGTTCTGACAGAACAATACTAGAACAATACTATATATATATATATATTACACTGTCGTTAGCAATCCTATTTAAAGTGGAAAGACATTGTCTTGTGTCAAGCCGATTGAATTTGCAAAATCACCGAAACAATGTGAAAAAGAAATGCATGAATTTTGTAACCGTTCGTATCAACGCGTCTCGACTCGTCGCTTCGTTGTTTCACTCGGGTTCTGCTTACGTAAGTGTCGGTGCATCGGCCTCCAACCGGTTCCGGCGGCCGCCCATAATTTACACGGCCAATCTTGACCCACAGCTGTCTCCCAATGGCGCGCGCTCCAAAATCCAACAGCTCTCGCGCCCTCGGTGCCGGAAGTTGTGGGGGCTGTGAGAGATTACTCGGAATACAATTTGTGCATTTATTGCGTACGCCTTAATCTTGTCCGTGGTAACGAACTACCACGCCTATGGATTGACGGTTTCGAATGTTCGTTGTAATTTTATTACGAGCTATCGCTTGCGATGCACACCTGGAGTGGCTACGGCATTGTTTTGGTTTGAAATGAATAGTATATATTTTATTCATACATAAAAAATACATCATTTTGTATCATACTTTTAATAATATAGGTATATTTCAAATGTTGCAAAAGTCAAAAATAAACGTTTTATTTAATTAAGTAGATATAACGTGTGCAATTGTACGGGAAGTCGATGGATGCAGGTGGCTCAGGATCGTACGTACTTCGTGGCGGTCGTAAGATAACTAGAATGTTCATTTTATGAACATTCTAAATTGTGATTGGGGAATTTGATTTCCTTGCTCCTATTTGTAAAAACACGTGCAATATATGCAAGCGAGAATTTGGGAGGGGGGGGGGGGGTAACCCTAACGTATTTTAATGTTTATGCTTTTAGAATGATTCTCTTATAATATTTATAACAATAGAAAGTTTAATTTTTCTTATTCATGAATATTACGCATAGCACTGCAAAAATTCGTTTTCTATAACATACAAACAAAAGAACATACACAAAAAGAATATAGCCAAAGCTAAATATAAAACCAACGCCAGTGAAACCAACCGCATTAAATACACAAGCATTCGGAATCGATGCAACGGATTGTGTAGAGATGAACAACGACGGCATATCCATAAATCTGTACTCGAGGAAGAAGATTCCGGAAGAGTATGGAAGGAAATTGCTGAAATCCCTTGGGGTTGGGAAAGCAAATAGAAATTGTCCTTCAAATTATAGTACCTTCGATTTAAATAGGCTCAATCAGCATTTTTCCTCATTTTGTACTATTGATAGTACCTTAAAACAAAATACTAAAAATAAAATTTTAGCTTTACCCACCCTTGATGATCCCGCTTTCGTATTTAGTCAAATCGACTGCAGTGATGTTAAGAGAAGTATTATGGAAGCTAACTCTGATGCTATTGGTTCTGACTGCATTAGTCGTAAAATGATCACTCCTCTTCTCGATTTTCTAGTAGTGTAAATTTTTCCTATCTTTCCAGTGCTGCGGACAGTGCGGACTCGCCAATACTTGAGGAGGCCGGTGAGAGCGGCTCCGAACTGAAGCCCAAACCCCTCGTCAAATATGGCGAGCTTGTCATACTTGGGTGAGTGGGACGTATTCATCTAAATTGTTGTTTAACCACTACACTATACATTATACAAGCTGACAATTTCAAACGTTCTTATGACTTATCGTGTTCGTCATGCATATCATGTTTTGGAAAATTCTGTCATAAAAGTTTACCAAATCAAAGTTTTTAATTACTTAGCTATCTAGCTATCTAGGCCGTGATAGCTTAGTGTCCGAACGCTCGCTTTTATAATAATTCAATATGCTCGAGCAACCTGAGTTCAGAAACCAGACGGCAAGCAATTTCTTCCCCGGCGTTAGCACACGTCGAATGAATCATGCGATGTTCATATAAAACAATCGGTATTTCCGATTTCCGGTTGTAGCTAGGAGTTCAATTTGTAAAAAGTGAAGCAAGTAGTTTAAAAAAGTTTAGTGTCACTGCTACTTGAGTAAAACTAACGTGAACTCGCAGGGCGAGTCGGTGGTACTGAATGTGAGTGCTGAGCTATACAGATGAATGAAAAATAATGTGCTTCGAACATATGGTCAATATGGGAGATGATTATACTGTGGTAGGGCCAAGCAACAGTTTTCGCGCGATTGGGCAGGTCCGTCCGGGGATGTACCACGACCTCGTACAAGACTGTTTTGAAGTGGAAGAATTAAGCGTTTCGTCTGATGAGCGAGGTAGCCGAGGCCCATTTTATTGAAAGGTGGTAGCTAATCTACAAATCTACGTGTGTTGCAAATGTCCATGAGCAGCGGTTATCACTTAACATCAGGTCAACTGCCAGCTCGTTTTCCACCTTCTCACATTAAAAACAGAAGTAAAAAAATATGGATTCTATTCACTCAATTCCAAATAAACCACTTTTGCTAAACATAAAAATTTAAATTTTAAATTTTAAATGATCACTCTCTAAGTAATTATTAATTTATATTTTATTTAAATGATTACGAGTAAGGTACGCACGTCCGGGTACTATCATGCCCAACATTTTAACATGGTAATGCCACGGCTGGCGTATGCTATGACTGTCATTGGGTTTTCCGGCATAAATGAGTCAACATTGATTAAATGTAACCCTTCTGTATTTCCTGGACGCAGAAATATCAACCTCTTAAAAAAAGTGTTGTTTAACAGAGAAGGTTTAATAAATTGAATCCTAGAGCTCATACTGAGCATGCAGACGTAATACGACATACCGAAAAGCTTTTCCTTAAAAACAAATATTAATAATAATAAGTTTCATAAATAAATATGATTATTTTTATATATTATTATGATATATTTTAATAAATTTCACTTACACACAGCACGCGGTCGAATCATAAACTTAAAAAAGAAGTTTACGCACGTAAAAGTATGCATGATATTGTTGCATATATATATGCCAGGTTCAATACTTGTCCATCACGCGCCGGCATAAGCAAATGCTATCTTGCTTTTTTTTCACAAGCAGAACCTACGCTGTCTTATCTTGTCCTTAATCATGCGCACCGCGCTTAATATCCTACTAGTCATTAACCTAAGGTTTCCAGAGGCTGGTGTCACTGGACCACTGCGAGGTTTTTCACTCGAGTGGGTTAACGTACTTAGGCGTTAGTTATTGTGCATTCCTTCTAGATATAAGTATTTATATAGCTATTTCATTTTCTTATTAGCGTACGAACAAAGGCAAATGCGGCTTATACGGCCTTTGTTGTAATGTATCGCGAAATACGTAAGAACTCTTTGGAGCGAATTTTAATTATCTTTTGATACGTTCAAAGTAGGTTAATTACCATGTGTTTATTTATTGTTTTAGGATTTGTTGTAGTTGTTTTAAAAAGATACACATTTATTTATATAGGTGTTTATTTGATTTATGTATATTTATGTCTTCTAAATTAATATAATAGCATTTATTGCATTATTTTGTAAAAGCAACGAAATATAAATAGATATATAAAGCGCACTTATCTCCAAAGTAAATGGAATGTACCTCTTTCCCCGTATAATTCCATGTTTATTTAATATTTAAACTAATATTACATATATAAATCGGTCCAGATCGGTAAATTGTTGGCATATGTAAATCCATTACCGGATCTATTGACAATTGACCTCTTTGAATTACAGGTTTATATTTCACATAAAAGGTAGTTTGGATTTTATTATAGCTTATATTATATCAGCTGTATATTAGCTTCGGATGAGTTCAGTGATATACACACGTAAAGAAGAAGTACCCGGAGAACCGTTTTTTTTTTGGTAAATCGTGTATTTTGGAAATTACATTTAGATACAAATTACTGAGTAATGAAATATGCATAATGTTTTTCGATCTTACCGACGTAATAATAAGAAAATATGAACTGATGTTTTTCACAAAAGAAAGAACTTTAAAAAATCGACAATAAAATTAAAAATAAAGAAAGTAATGATCGGATTCGAAAAAAAGTAAAAAAATAAATGTGTAAATGATCGTGACGCGAACCACGGCCTTCTGTTTTGGGGCCGCCCGATTACCGACCGAGCTATTATGACATTTTCTCTTGCGGCCAAATTTACCGTCATATTCGAATTATATTTTTCATTCCCTGAAAACTGGGATAAAATGACATTCTCTAAAAATGAAACCTAGTCAGTTCGATTTTTCGCCCCCGAATCGACGCACATACTAAATTTCATGAAAATCGCTGGAGCCGTTTCCGAGATTCCGATTATATATATATATATATATATATATATATATATACAAGAATTGTTCGTTTAAAGGATAAGATATATATATATATAAAGATAAATATACGTAAGGTCAAACCTATCTCAATAAATAATCCTAGATAGCTTAAAACCGCTTGTTAAATTAATGAACGCTCTCTATATGCAAAACGTCTTATATATAGTTTACTTCATATCAAAGTAAAATAAAAAAATAATTAAAATCATACGGTGAAAATATCTAATAAATTTGTTATCCGTTATTTATTCTATTCAAAATGTGGAGAACAAAACAGCTGGACTTATCCAGCTTTCATATGCTTAGTCTTCTCGACAAATCATAAATAAAATTTTCTTTTGTGGTTAAACTTTACTTGATGCATAATTATAACGTTTTGTCTAAAATTAAACACAAATGTTGATAAGTAAACAAAAATCAAACGTCTATTTTCATTATCATTCCCGAGCGGAGTATTTAAGACAATAGTAATCGTTTTTACTTGCTCTCGTGATAACTAACTTTGATATCGCTGCCTTTCTACAATAATACATTGAACTGTTTTAATGACAAAGAAGTGTGTCGTCTTGTTGTTATAAATGTGGGCTTCACACAATTGAATTTTAAATTAAAATGTCGCTTGCCCTGATAAACGCCGCTAAAACGATGGCATATCCGACTAGGTTTGCGTAATATAAATTTTAGCGGCTTCTGTTTTTTTGGCAAACGGTTTGCGAAAGATAATTTTGCGAAGCTTTTCTAGCGCGTCTCTAAATGATTGCCCCACTTAGCCGTGAGTAGTGAACCACGGTAATCATAGCTGTTGAACCGTGCTCCGTTACTTAACGTAATCTGTCAGTAAGTACTGATCTTTGACGGTTAATTCAAGCGGGTTCGTATAGCGAGAAATTGGTTTGCTTTTCACGTCATCGTCACATTTATTAGATAGGTCGTTCTCTATTCAGTGCACATGCACCTAATCTTCTGTATCAGTGGCACTATTTACACTCTGATTCTTTTCTTTTATAAATGTATTGATGATAATGATATAAACTTGTATATTGTAAACATAGAAGATGAATGATAGACAGCATATAAAACTTTCTGTCTATCATTCATCTTCTATGTTTCTCCGATGAAAATACATGCAATAATCCTCCTTCTGGCGCAGTCGGGTAAACACCGAGTCCATTTTAACATTGATCGGTGTTATATTTCATATCACACCAGCGTATGTATATGTACAAATATCCATCTTTATACATACATATATTTTATATAGACGAGAATATTTTTATTTCAATTAAACGTGTTTGACGGAAAAGAAATGTATTCTGAAATAGTTTTATATATTGCCATCATTCGATCTCTAAGTGTTTGTTTTCTTTATAGCAGGGTTTTGGGAAGTGAATCGTCTTCTTCATTAAATAAATAACCGTTCACAAGTTCATGGCACGTGACCTACTCCATTGTCTTCTCCATGGACAATTCATCTTCGACGGATGTGACCAATAATTTTATTTCTTGTGGAAACTTGGTAAGCCGCAGGCGGTCTAGCTCATCGACATGTACAACAATTGAGGGGTTGCCAACCATCAAAATAGTGTATATACTCAGAAACCGTGAAGCTCTCGTTAACTTCAAAACAACTGTGACCTATTTCGTATGATATCTCATTTCGACGTTTAAATTCTGCTTCACGTGTCAAGACATAAATTAATTTAGAAGGTAATTGGACTGGTTAATTGGATTATATTTGTATCTATATATTAATAGGTAAATCAAAAACTTTGTACCCCTTTTTTAAGAAAATTGCGCACACTTATAGTTTAATAGAGAAGGAGGTCAGAATGGTAATTTTTTTTAATTTTGCTCAACAAATACATGAAATCAATAAAAAATTGGCTCCACCCGCGAATTAATACAGCTGGAAAAAAGACCACGGTATAGTCTAGAAGAGTCGATACTTTTGCGTTTTATCTGGTGATTCCGAAAGTATCCGGGACCATCCTTTTCAAGATCGGAAAAGCAATTGTAACAATAAAACTTCCCATCAAGTCAAACGTCTGCTTAGTAGTTTGAATGCTTCGCGTGACATGCGCAATAACAAGAAAATGTTTTGTCAATGTAGAGAAGAAACTAAAGAATATTTGTTGATTGTGTTGTCTCCGAATGTGGGGATTTCTATAACACCTAGTGGGTAATACCAACAGATACGCGGCCCTTTTATAATGGAGAAGCCACATTTCAATGCAACATCGACATCGCATGCGTGATGTTTAAACTTCGGTAAACAATTCTACTCTAAATTGTTTTTATATTTCCC